AGGCGATAAGTCAATTGATTAAAGCTCCTCCATAGATGGGCATTCTATGCGCTCAGATTCCATGGAACTCGTTAACTTTTCATTGCCACTGGAAATGTATAATTTGAAAATGAATCGATAGCCAATGTAATAAAACAGGTCTGCTAAATGTCGACTTTATTTACGAGCTTCGCTTATCCACCTTAACAATTAGTGTAATTTTTGAAACTTATAACCGCCGAGAAAGTTTAGAAGCGGAAAAGTCAGAAGGCAGGTACACGAAGTTCGTATAACTCAAGAAACGAATTTGTGGTAAAAACAATTAACCTGGGAGAGGGCGTGAATGGGACTGTTAAATAGGATGAGACTAAAACGTTTCACGAAGTTAGCATGAGGTCTATTTAGCACTAGTATACTTACGTCAAAAGCGAAGCAGTGATAATCGGCGAAGACAAACTCAGAACCGGCTTTGCTGTTTTCTAGGAATTCAGACATACGATCTCCTAACCACTGGAAAGCAACAAACCCCGGTCTAGTACGCAGTGTGAGAACAGCGAAAAGGAACTGGACGAAGATGCCAACCAGTGGTGGATGCCAATTGATCTAAAACAGTAATGAATGGAAATTTGTGCAATGCACTTCAACAGAAATTTTGGTACAGAAAACGTTTCAATTTTCTCTTGGGATAACTTGCTCACATTTTTATGCCTCTGCAAATTAAAACGAGTCAGAGCCGTCCGTTTTCGCACCCACCGTTTGTCATTTAACACCTTCATTTGAGTTAATAGCCACTTTTCTCAAACTACGTAAAAGCACAAGGAAGATGGTAATCTCTTTTTGGTAATGTTGGGCTCTTCGCTTCAACCCTCGACTACTCTATTATGGTCTTCGGAAAGTTCGCTAAAGTACCTGACCGCATCAATGCTAATTCCGACTTTAGAACCTTTTTACTGGGCAAAGCAGCGTTAAATATAAGGCGCCTAGATAAGAACCTTTGAAATAATCCCAACGTACCGTTTAATATAATGACAGCAATGAAATTTGCGAAAAAGAATTGTTTCAGTTAATCTGTCATTTCACCATCACAACCCATACATAAACTATACTATGACTTGCCAATAACTGACACCGTCAAAGAGATGGCCATCAGAGGTGACTGTTTAAATTTCGGCAACCGCGATACACTAATACTGGGCAGCTTTTAAGAGCAACCT